TATAATGGTTCCTCCCTATTTTCGGTATTTTGGTGATTTAAGCGACATTATTCAGCGGAAATGTTTCAAATTTGGTATTTGAAGTTCGTAATAGATATTACAGCCTATGACAGAAAATTGTCTGTGCAGGTCCACATCTTCGTATAGCCCCCCATATACCGGCGCCACACGATATTTGGTATTTTGATGATTTTAGCAACATTATTCACCGGAATTGTTTTAAATTTAGTATTTTAAGTTCGTAATGGATACTTCAGCCTAACACAGAAAATTGTCTGTGCAGGTCCACGTCTTCGTATAGCCCCCATATAAGAGTACATCCCGATATTCGGTATTTTGATGATTTTAGCGACATTATTTACAGGAAATGTTTCAAATTAAGTATTTGAAGTTCGTAATGGATATTACAGCCTATGACAGAAAATTGTCTGTGCAGATCCACGTCTTCGTATATCTCCCATATACCGGCACCCCCCGACATTCGGTATTTTGATGATTTTAGCTACATTTGTCACCGGAATTCTTTCAAATTTGGTATTTGAAATCCCTGATGGATACTTAAGCCTATGCCAAAAAAATGTCTATGCAGGTCCAGGTCTTCGTATAGTCTCGATACGACGGTACTTCCCTATTCGGTATTTTGATGATTTTAGCTACCTTATTCACCGTTTTTTTTATTAAAGTTCCGCATTTGAATATTGTAATGGCTTATGACAAAAATTGCCTGTGCAGGTGCACGTCGTCGTATAGACCTAATATAACGGCTACATTCGATATTTTTAAGATTTTAACAGAATTTTTAACGGATTTTATTTTTTTTGAAAATTGTTAAATTTGTTCCAAATGGTGGAGGGTATTCAAAGTTCATCCCGGCCGAACTTACAGCTTTTTTACTTGTTTTTTATTTATTTTGTATTTTATTATTATTTACTTATTTTATTTATTTACTTTACTTTATTTACTGATTTACCTATTTAATTTTATCCTTCATTTATTTAATACTTATTTATCAATTTATTTATTTAATTGCCCTTTAACCCCATAGTGCACACAATGCACGATAAACATGAATTTTCATTTGTTTTACGCAAACACACACAAATACAAAGAAAAACAAAACAACAACAAAAATCCAACAAAGAAAAAATCGCCAAGGAAAAAAACTAAATACCCACGCACACTCTCATATACATGTGTAAAATACACCAACAACCCAAGCACATGGCTTTGTTCGAACTGCGTTGGCCAACCAACATGTTGCTGACATTTTCCCAGCAGCGCCAGCAACAACAACAACAACACACAGGCCAGCCAAATAACAAATCATGATTTTTCTATTACACACACACATTATGTTGCTAAGCATTTATGTTGAAACAAGGTTGTTGTCGCTGCTGCGTTTTCTGTTTACGTATTTTTGCCACCACACCCTCTCTCTCTCCACTCTTCTCATGCAACAGCATGAACAACAACAAACTGTGTTCATTTACTTTCCGTTTGAAGTCTTGACCTGCATCATATTCGTTGTTGGGGTAAACAAAGTAGAACACAGTAGACGAACACACATAGTGTGTGTGTGTGTGGGGGGTTAAAACCAGAGAGCCACAGAGGGATGGAGAGAAAATGTGTATGACAAAGGAGAGACAGTGTTTTTGCAAAAACATTGGCCCCCCTGTTTTTTTTTAATGAGAATGACAAATTGAGATTTGTCATTGCATTGCGAGGAATAAAAGGCAAATCGCCTTCCGCTGCTTTATTATTGCTATAGGCCCGATGGGGGAATCGAATATCTCCTCGCCCTGTGGGCATATTTGTTGTTGTTTTAGGAAAAATTATGAAAATAGTTGAATGTTTTGTTTTTATGTAATGACAATAAAAACAATATTTGAAACGTTGCATGTTTGGGGTACATGATTTGCCCTTGATGTAAACTGCACAAAATCAGCTGTCAATTTGAGGAAGCAAAAGAAGCAGAAGAAGAAGCAGAACCGTGCTTATTTGTAAATTACTCTACAAGGTATCGTAACGTACAAGGTGGGAATATAAAATTCAAGGCTATATGATAGGTTTCTATACCCTCCACCATAGTTTGAAGGGTATATTAAGTTTGACATTCCGTTTGGAACTCCTCGAAACATTCATGATAGATCCTACAAAGTATATATATTCCGGATCAGCGTAAAATTCTAAGACGATGTAGCGATGTCCGTGCGTCTGTGGAAATCACCCTAGCTTCCGAACGAAATGAAGTAGGTTGATAAAATTTTACTCAAATGTATATAAAGTCTTCAGAGGTTTTGGTATTGAAAATGGGCCACGTAGATCCATGTTTTAGTATAGCCCCCATATAATAGTACCTCCGTTTTTTCAGTATTTTTATGATTTTAGCGACAATATTCCCCGGAATTGTTTCAAATTTGGTATTTGAAGTTCGTAATGGATCTTAAGACAGAAAGTTGTCTGTGCAGGTCCACGTCTTCGTATAGCACCTTTATAACTGTACCTCCCGATATTAGGTATTTTAATGATTTTAGCGACATTATTCACCGGAATTGTTTCATATTTGGTATTTGAAGTTCGTAGTGGATGCTACAGCCTTTCACAGAAAATTGTCTGTGAAGGCCCACGTTTTCGTATAGCCACCATATAATGGTACCTCCCGATATTCGGTATTTTGATGATTTTAGCGACTTAATTCACCCGAATCGTGTCAAATGTGGTATTTGAAGTTCATAATGGACACCACAGCCTATAACAAAAAAATTATCTGTGCAGGTCCACGTTTTGGTATAGCCCCCATATTACGGTACCTCCCGATATTTGGTATTTTGATGATTTTAGCGACATTACTAACCGGAATCGTTTCAAATTTGGTATTTGAAGTTCATAATGGACACTACAGCCCATGACAGAAAATTGTCTGCGCGGGTCCACGTTTTGGTATAGCCTCCATATAATGGTACCTCCCTACTGTATTCGGTATTTTGATGATTTTAGCGACATTACTAACCGGAATTGTTTCATATTTGGTATTTGAAGTTCGTAGTGGATGCTACAGCCTATCACAGAAAATTGTCTGTGCAGGTCGACTTCATCGTATAGCCCCATATAACGGTACCTCCCCATTTTCGGTATTTGGTTGATTTTAGCCACTTAATTCTCCCGAATTGTTTCAAATTTCATATTCGAAGTTTGTCATGGGTACTACAGCCCATGACAGAAAATTGTCTGTGCAGGTCCACGTCTTCGTATTGCCCCCATATAACGGTATCTCCCGATATTCAGTATTTTGATGATTTTAGCGACTTAATTCACCCGAATTGTTTCAAATTTGGTATTTAAAGTTCGTAATGGACACTACAGCCCATGACAGAAAATTGTCTGTGCAGGTCCACGTCTTCGTAAAGCCCCCATATAACTGTATCTCCCAATATTCGGTATTTTGATGATTTTAGAGACATTATTTACCGGAATGGTTTCAAATTTGGTATTCGAAGTTTGTCATGGGTACTACAGCCCATGCCTAAAAATTTCGTTTGCAGGTCCACGCCTTTGTATAGCCCCCATATAACTGTATCTCCCGATATTCGGTATTATGATGATTTTAGCGACATTATCCACCGGAATTGTTTGAAATTTGGTATTTGAAGTTCGTAATGGATGCTACAGCCTATGACGGAAAATTGTCTGTGCAGGTTTACGTCTTCGTATAACCAACATAAAAATGTACCTTCCGATATTCGGTAGTTTGATGATTTTAGCTACATTATTTACCGAAATTGTTTCATATTTGGTATTTGAAGTTCATAATGGACACTACAGCCCATGACAGAAAATTGTCTGTGCAGGTTAACGTCTTCGTATAGCCGCCATATAACTGTATCTCTCGATATTCGGTATTTTGATGATTTAAACGACATTATCCATCCAAATCGTTTCAAATGTCTTATTCGAAGTTTGTAATGAGTACTACATACTATGTTTTAAAATTTCGTTTGCAGGTCCATGTCATCGTATAACCCCCATATATCAGAATCTCCCGATATTCGGTATTTTGACGATTTTAGCTACATTATTAACGGGAATTGTTTCAAAATTGGTATTTAAAGTTCGTAATGGACACTACAGCCCATGACAGAAAATTGTCTGTGCAGGTCCACGTCTTCGTATAGCACCCATACAACGGGACCACCCGATATTCGCCATTTTAATGATTTTAGCTACATTATTTACCGAAATTGTTTCATATTTGGTATTTGAAGTTCGTAGTGGATGCTACAGCCTATCACAGAAAATTGTCTGTGCAGGTCGACATCATCGTATAGCCCCATATAACGGTACCTCCCCATTTTCGGTATTTGGTTGATTTTAGCCACTTAATTCTCCCGAATTGTTTCAAATTTCATATTCGAAGTTTGTCATGGGTACTACAGCCCATACCTAAAAATTTCGTTCGGTTGTCCCGTCTTCGTAGAGCACCCATATAACGGAACCACCCGATATTCGCCATTTTGATGATATTAGCGACATTATTCGAAGGAATTTTTTCAAATTTGGTATTTTAAGTTCGTAATGGATACTACAGCCTATGACAGAAAAATGTCTGTGCAGGTCCATGTCTTCGTATAGCCCCCATATTTCAGTACCTCCCGATATTCGGTATTTGGATGATTTTAGCGACATTATTCGCCGGTATTGTTTCAAATTTCGAATAAAGTTGTAATGGTATTTTTCGTAATTTTTGAAAATTTTCAAGTTCCTTCCAAATGGTGGAGGGTATTCAAAGTTCGGCCCGCGCTAACGATTTTAAGGAAGCTTTATAGGGGAAATATAAGTTCTCAAAGAGGCTTTTGTGTGGAATTGCAATAAATCAAAGGCCTTAAGGCGACCTATTGAAAAAGTATAACTCCTGAAAATTTCCGTTTAAAAAGAAATAAATTCTGTCTATACAGCAGAGGCTGGATTCTTAACATTTTCATAGAACAACCTTCGTTACTTACCACGATCTTTCGTTGTAAACCTGCTGCCTACAGATTTATATCCAATGGGTTATAGATACATCATTGTCAGTATATATTTAAACATTCTGAAAGGAAAGAGAGAGAGGAAAAAATTGGTAAATATTGACCGAAAATAATGAATAAATTTATTGGTTTAGAATTTAATAGAAAATAATAAAAAATACAAATGCATAAGCAATGGCAACATACTTTATTTTGCCATCCGACTATCTAGGAACAAGAAATACTTGAAATGATTTCAGAAAAAAAATTATTAACTGCGGCCATGACGCTTGGTTTGTTTCTAATCCAAAACAATTCGTCGTTCTTTCGTTTGTTTCTAGGGTGGCAACACACATTTCTTTAGCTCATCTTTGTTTCTTTGAACGAAGCAGAAAAAAAACGAACATCATTTCAAAATTGTCTTTGATAATTTAACGGTACACGATATAGAAATATTTGACTGACGTCATTTTCTTCGTCGTTTTGATTCTCAGCTGATTCACAAACTGCGGGTGATACGAAACAATGGCACAAATATTGCTCTTTTTTGGCTGAGGATCGATTTTGTGTAGATCTTTAAATCTTTGCGTGTAGCCAAGTTTGTATTCAAAGAAAAAAAAAAAATAGACCCACAAAAAGAGACAATGAGATGACGCCAGAAAAACCACAGAGGGAGAGATAGAAAATAATGATTAATGCAGATGTCAGATTAAAATAAAAATATATTGTTTGAAGGTATAGAAAGCATTGGAAATAATTGAATTCATATTTCAATGTTTTAAAAGAATAGAAAAAGTGTTGGAATTTATATGACCTTTTTAGAGCAAAAATATGGTCATTTCATTTTCAGAGCGAAATACAGGGTGAGTTGCAAAAAACTGCAACCAACTTCAGACTGCTGTCATTTCTAAGCCACTCGTCCGATATCTGTTAAAATTATTCCAGTGACAGCTCATTATATTGTTTACAAGCGTACAAAAGCATTTTGCTGAGAATTTTCCAGAAAAAAAGTTATTCGTGATGGAATTCATGCGTGATAGTGTGATTTCTTTATATTTGGCTGGAAAACCACAAGTAGCTATCGTTAGAGCACTCCAGCATTTAAATGTGAACAAATCTTTTGTGTCTCGTACCATCGCTCTTTAACGTGATACTCGAAGCGTAGCCCGACGTCAAGGAAGTGGACGGAAGAAAACAGCAACATCAGCAGAAATTGTTCGAAAATGGTAAAAAAGCGACTTGATCGAAACACGCGTCGCAGTGGCTGAAAAATGGCTCGTGAGCTGAACATATCGCAATCTTCCATTCGGCAAATATTGAAAAATAAGCTCGGGGTAAGACCATTGAAATTTTTAAAAAGTGCAAGAACTTACACCGCAAGAGAAAGAAAATCGATTCAAAATAGCTAAAGTTATGCTTCCTTTGGCCGAAAGTGGTGAACTGTCGAATTTGGTTTTCTCCGATAAGAAAACATTCGTTGTCCAGCAGTTTGTAAACAAACAAAATGATCGTGTTATTTGCCAAAGAGGTCAGATGGAAATGTGCACTTCCGGTTGGCCACCAGAACTCAAGCGCCAGCCACGGTGATGGTGTGGGCCGCAATAAGGCTGTAAGTACATAAGAAGCTTGAAGTTATGGCTAGGCATATTTTAGACATATTTTGTGACATTCCATAAAGGGATTACAGAGCTGCACTAAGATCCTGCCGTCGTTTTCCATTATAATTTGACATTAATATGCCTAGCCCTGACTGCAAGCTTTTTATGTAATTGCACCTTTACAGCCGATGGTCGATTAGAATAAATACCGAATATTATGGCGAAAATATTCTGGAGGGTGTATTAAAGCCTAGGGCAGGCAAACATTTTGGCCGCAGTCCTTGGACATTCCAACAGTACTCAGCATGTGCCACCCAAAAATAGTTAGAAATGAGGTTCCTCGCTTAATTTCCATGCACATTGGCCACCAAAATCTCCCGATACCAATCCGTTGGACTATTGTGTCTGGAGTATTTTAAAAAGCAAGGTTGGCACTAAGAAATACCAAAGTGTCGATCACCTCAAGCAAGCGCTTCGCCGGGAATGAGCCAAAATACCGTAGAACAACATTCGGGCAGCGTTGACCGTTTTAAGGCCTTGATTCGTGCCAAAGCTGACCAATTCCAACAAATCTAAACGTTTTCTAAAATTTAATGCTATTTCCGATATTTTTTGCTTTCATTCAATAAAATTAAAAAAAAAAAAATTATGGCGTTTGACTTGGTTGCAGTTTTTTTATTTCACCCTGTATATGTATCCCTCTAATTTGAAAAAAAAACGTAGTTCGTATGCCAATGAGAACATAGTATTAGATATAGATTCCATCATGGTAGATAACTCGCATCGGCATAGCTGCTGGGACAATGAACTGTCAAATCAATTTTGGAATTGAAAATTTTGATTGAAGTTTTTTTTTTAACAACCTCATCTTAACAACCTCTGATAGGCGCCGTAAAAGAAAAAATATAAAAATCCACTTATTTTTGAAAAATCATTAAAAAAAAATTGACCTAATAATGTTCCGAAGCGTTGATGCATCTACCGGTATTGTTCTACCATGGCTCCCATATATGTTCCCCCATAATTTGAAATAAAGTAGATTAAATACAAATGAGAACATGGTCTTAGATAGAGCTCACATATATTTTTTTTTGTTATAATTTTATTCAATGTAGTTCAAATGCCAGTGAAAACATGGTATGAGATATAGCTGCCATATAAATCTACCTCTTGAAATAAATAAATCTTGAGTACATGGTATTGGATATAGCTCTGACTTTTTTTCCCCTCATTTTAAAATAAAGTAGTTAAAATGTCAGTAAGAACATGGTATGAGATATAGATAAACTGGATCGATTCTATGGATGAAAGAACTTATGTAGATATTCTATAGATAAACAACTTCTACTGAACTTCCTCAGTTAGAAGACTCCCTAAAAGTCTTTTTTGGCATAGAATTATTTTCCAAGTCATATAAGATACTGCATTTTTTGCTGTCTTTATTTGAGCTACATCCCAATACTATTTCCGCTTGTCATTCATAACCTAAAAAACTAATTAAAGGTTAATTAACGCCATGAATATTTAATGCAATGGCGAGGGAGACAGCAAAAACAACAACGACACTACATAATGCTGCATAACTACCTATGTATGTCTGTGGAATTTTTAACAAATAATTTAAATATTCTTTATAGGCAGCTCAACAATTATGTGGGGTACTTAAATTCCATTCCATTTTATTCGATTAAAACGGAAGAATCACAACAAATTTCTTTTATTTAATTAATACCAATTATCTTGAAGTGAGTGTGTGTGTGTGTGGGAGAGAGAGAGGGAGTCATTTTTATCAAATTATGACAATGAAATGGAGCCAGGGGTGCTCAAAAATAAATATCTGTTTTCAGTCAAATTTCTCTTTGCTTATTTAAATCAAGAACAAAACAGTGTTAAGTCATTATTTATACAAATATTTTTTATCCATTTGCTTTATAAACTATTTTGGCAAACATTCGTGTTTAAAAACAATTAAATAGAACAGTAAAATATAAAGAAAAACAGAATTTTAATTTTCTCTTAAATTATCTCTTTTTTCTCTTCATGTTCTAGAACACGGTTTTGAGCACCCTTGAATGGAGCACAAACTCCCCCGACCCAATAAGAGTAAACAAATGACTGTTTCTCGAAAAACAAGGGAGGTGAGACAGAGAGAGAGAGAAGTTTTCCATAACAAAATCGAGAAAAAGGAGATAAGAGATTTGTAGTTTCTGTTTTCTAAATAAAGAATATGGGGTACTCCTATCATCTATCATATGAAAAGCACACAACAACATAAACATAACGCACACTGAACAATGTAAACAGTGTGTAATGGAATACGAATATAAAGAATATAAAGTTGGACGATATTCTCCAATAAGATTTTATGTCTCACATCTTTGCCTACCATGCCTAAAAAAGGCATTGACTTCAAATGAATAAAAACAAATTGGGGAATAAGAGGCAAAGCAGAGAATGGTTCCCCTTTTGCAAGAAAACAAAACAAAAACGTAAATAAACAACCGAAACTTACAGTTACTGCACGAAACGAAAGAGAATGGGGTAGCGGAAGAGAGAGAGTTGGAGTTTTAATTTTACTGGGGTATGGGAGTATAAGTACAAACTTGGATAATTTTCGTCAGTGATGTCAACTATGTTGATTTTATATTGGTAGTGTCGATTTTAATTATTAAAAAATAATATATAAATAAATGATGAAGAAATGAGCAGAGAAACTATAAAAATCTCATTTAGAATCTAATGCCATGTTTTTGTTGGAGTTTTTTGTATGATTAGCCTACTTAAAGAATTAATTTGAAGTATAAGTAATGGATATGACAATTTTAATCCAAATCCAGTGAGTTAAACCCTTTATATGTAAACGTTCTGTAAAATGATGTACCAAATGATAAATGATTTTGTAGAAACCATAAAATATTTTTTCACCGTAAAAAATTACTATGACATTCAACACCTCGGTTAAATTTAGGTGTTTTTAAAAATACATATTTTGTAAAAATGCTCTTAACAGAGCACGCATTTTAATTTTAAACCAGTGTTGCCAAAAATGTAAAATATCACTCCTTATCCAAGAGAAAAGTAAAAAAGAGTAAGTTTGGCCAGTTTATACCCTCCACCTTTTGGAAATTTAAAAAAATGAATCCGTTAAAAATTCTGTTAATATCTTAAAAAACCGAATATAGACGTTATATAGAGGTCTATACGAAGACGTGGACCTGCATAGGCAGCTTTTGTCATAATATTCAAATACAAAACTTGAAAAAATAATCCGGTGAATAATGTATCTAAAATATCAAAAAGTTCCAGGGGGAAAAGTGCTTAGAAGAACTTCTAGTATGAATTTTAGAAAATTTCATTGGAAAAATGCAGCTATGATCATCAAATACCGAATATAGAGAGGTACCGTTATATGTGGGATATACAATATCGTAGACATATATAGGGAGTACAGAACCCAGAAATAACTCCTTTTGTGCATTTTTAGATAATTTAATTGAAAATTTTGGCTACAATCGTCAAAATACCGAATATGCCTGCAGACAAAAGACTTAATGTGGGAATACATAAAGCGCTTATCTGGCTGGCTTAAGTCATCGTCTGGCTTTTTCGGAAATGAACAAAGAAGCCTTGGGCCAAAATCGAACTAAGTCAACCTAAAATTCCTTTGTTCATCTATGAAGAAGCCAGCCGATTACTTAAGCCAGCCTAATATGCGCTTTATGTATTTCCACCCTTTCCAGAATTTTACGCTGATCAAGAAAATATATACTTCGTTATGTATAAAATTATTATTTCGATGAGTTTCAAACGGAATGACGAACTTAATCTACCCTCCATACTATGTATGGTGGAGGGTATAAAAATTGTCGCCGTTATTTCCGAATTTTTCGTAATTTCTGAAAATTGCAAAATTTTCTTTTACCTAGTTCATATGTGTATTTTACAAATTTTACGGTGTTTGTTGTTGCAAAACAGGTCGGCTTTATCCCATTATTGTTGTTTTTATAAAAACAATGTTTGTTTTTTAAAGTTTTACTTTTTCCATTCCTTGAATATTGGATGATTTGTACCTACAAATGAAACCATGATTTCAAAGGAATGATATGAAAATCCATGTTCCAAAAATGTAAAATTTTTGGAATTAAAATAATTTATTGAGAATTTTTATGTTTAGTTTTCATTTTTGGATACATAACTCCAATACTAACAATTACAAATTTCTATATGGTTGTTGTTGTACAACACTTGTTTTATTAAAATATAAAAAGGTCGAAAAAAAGAAAATCATTAATTATATTTGTATATATTCTACCTTCTAATAATTGTATAATTTTTCAACTTTTCCATCGTTTCTTTTATGATTTTTTTATTTTCAGCGATTTTTTACCCGCACAAAATTGACAACACTGTTACTAAAGTGCAAGAGTAAAAGTGCTGGAGAGCAAATCTGTTTTGTCATATGAACTGAGATAAGCGAAATGAAAGAAAAAAAAAAAAAAGATAACAAAGCAGAAAAAAAAATAAACATAAACAAAAAACAACTGATCGCATGAAATGAAAAGCTGGCATGGCAAGTACAACAAACACAGCCAGCAACAACTAACCAACGTAACCAGCCATTTGTCGTAGTCGTCGTCAAAATAATAAACAAAACAAATATATAGAAAGAGATGGTAGATACCCAGTAAACAATTTTTTCCGACTGCTCTGATTTTAGATTTTTTTCCGAAATTTCTGACGTTTTTTTCAGAAATTTCTGATAGAAATTGGTCCGATTTTCTAAACGTTTTTTTGTAGAATTTCTGCACATTTTCCTGTGTTTTTAAGCGAAAAAAACTCGAAAAATGTACAAACGGAGAGAGTAGATTGTCTATTGCTCTGGCATATTCTCTCCCACATGTAAACGGATGGTGGTGGTTTGACACATTCTCTCCCATAGTAGTTGTTGTTGTGATCAATCAATTCAAGATCTCAACAACAACAAAGCGCAAAGCAAAAATGCTATTTGTTATTGTGAACTGTTAGATTTTCCGTTGTAAAAATGTGCGTTTTGTTGCTGTTGTGAATCAGCCTCTTTCTCTTTCGTTCCCAAAAAAATATGATGGAAAAAAATTGCAAAAACAACTACATACCGGTTTTCTGTGTGCACTGCTTTTTATTTTTAGTTCTTGTTTAGCAGTTGAAACAGAAACGTGCTACTGTATGTTATGTTCCTAATAAAAATAATATTTATAATGTAAATGTATTATAGATGTAATATTTAAACTACATTTTTACGAAACCCGAAATAAATTGTTTGTTTCTTAAATAAATATGTGTTTTTTTTTTTTTTTTTCATTTTTAAGTGGTGTGACGATTTTTTCGATATTTCTTCCGAATTCTGAACGATTTCTTTCAGAAAATCGGAACTTTCTCCCGAATTCTGAGCGTTTTTTTTTTCAGAAAATCGGAATTTTATTCCGAATTTTCTTTCGAATTCTGACCGATTTCTTTCAGAAAATCTGAATATTCCGCCGAATTTCCAGACGAATTCTGCCCGATTTCTTTCAGAAATTCGGAGTTGTCCTCCGAATCTTTTCCGAAAATCTAATTTTTTCTCCTATTTTTTCAAGAATTTTCACCGAATTCGGACCGAATTCGTCCAGAAAATCTAATATTTTTTCAGATTTTTTTCAGAAAATCTTTCCGAATTCGGTGACCACGTCCATACAACTTTCGTACCGAAATCGGAAGGAATTCGGAATCAGAATCGGACATTTTTTCAGAGATTCTGACAGAAATCGGACCGAATTCGGCAAAAATTGTTTACTGGGTATAGAAGTGGCTACATATAACCATATAACAGTTGTTTTTTTTTCTCAATTCGTGAAAACGATTGTGTGTGAGTGTGCGATAGAAATTAGAAAGAAAATAAGCAAAAAGATAGCAGAGATGGCAAGTAAAAATAAAATAAAAATAAGAATTGAAATGTATAGGAAAAACCTCAATTGAGGCAATGATAAGTTGCATATATTCATACATATACATATATATATATGCATTCATGTAACTCAAATGGGTAGTAGGTACATAGATTTGCATGTGTGTTTGTAGCCATGTATCAATCATATGGAAAGGCAACACATATTACATCAAGATAAGTCTATTTGTTTTTGTTGTTGTTATTTTATCACAGCTGATTTGTGATGCCATAATAGAGAAAGAGAGAGGGATGGAGGATGTGGATCAGGGCAAGGCAGAGAGCCTCAAAAATTTTTTGTGATTGTATGTGTTTTGAAATAACAAAATATTGCAACTGTTTTTTTGCCTCTCTTTGCACAGTGAGAAATATTTTGTTGGCTTTTTTTGATTTTTATATTTCGGGTTTCATAGCAAATTAAACTTTTCAACTCATTAAAAAAACGCTGTTATATTAAAACTATTAAATAAACTATAAATTATTTTGTAAGAGAATAGATAACACGAATGATGCAAAAAATATTTAATTAAAAAAAAAATATTTTCATAAAGTTTTATCAAATTATGGAAATGAAAATTATTAAAATAATGATAATAATATGAGTAATAACAATTTGTGTGGAGAACTAAATGATATATAGAACCTTTCTTATTCACTATCGAAATGAAACTGAAAATACTTCTTTGTGTGACCAAATCAAAACCCAAATTAGTCCATGGCCATCTTTGTCACACCTGTTTCAGAAATAAAAATTAAATATTCAAAAGTGTTGAAAAGTGCATTTGATTTGAACCAAATATTGCAAAGCCAATAAAAAATTCAATTAAAGAAGAAAAATCTTTAAAGCTCCCTGAAAATGTGTAGTATGTTACATTTATGTACACAATTATTTCTTACGGTGCATTCATAAAAATATCCGACAGCACATTCCTCGTCGACTGCTCGAACAATACTAAATATTCTCCCAAAACCATTTTGACAGAAAACTCAAAACAAGTTATTTTTTACAATTGTGTTGGTGAACACACAGACATCCCAAGGGATACTCTTTGCCTAGCCCTGATGTGGATAGAACAATAAAAAAACTAACAGGAACTGACTCTCAATACAAATAAAATGGGTCAAATATGATTTTGTTTTGTCACTTACATGCTGCTGCGCTGCCAAGTTATTGCTGCCCCCTTTTGTAATTGCTGTCTCCGTTTGACGATGATGACGTTTGAGGTCACTCCACTCGCTCACACACAATTCACTCTCACCTCGTAAGCAATGTCCCAATGTTCATGTTATTTACTCTCACTCACGAATACAAAACACCAAATAAAAAGAAAACAAATTGATTCGTTTTTATGCTTTTCTTTCTTTGTTTTTTTGTTTTTTTTGGGAGGGGAAGAATTTATGTTTTCTTTCACTTTATCTTCTTCAATAGCTTTTGCTAGCTGCTGCTTCTGGTTATGACAATTTTGTTGTTGTTGTAATCAATTTACATTCGCTTGGATTTTTCCACACTCTTTTTTTCATAACATCATTTCACGATTTTTCATCTCTCCCTCTCTCTCTCTATCTCAACTGTGTGTAAGGGGAAGAGAGCGTCCTCTTGTTTTGCTGGGGAATAGAGTGGCATGGAGATGGAAGGGGGAAGAATACAGTGCACTCACTCTGTTGTGAAACCCGATGAGTGTTGTAATGGAACTTTAGGTTTTTTTATTTAAATAATTTTTATTAGCCCGTGAAACAAATGTCGTTGATGTTGTTGTTGTTGTTACAGCGTCAATCCCACAACCTTCTGCGTTTTGTTGTTGGCGATGAAATTGTTTATGATTGATTTTTCTCGTAGTTGTTGCTTTTGCAGTGTTGTAATGATGAAAAGGAAACTCGTGGATTTCTGTTTTCGACACAACCATTGGAATTGTTCCAATTGCCGTTGTTGTTGCCGCATCACTCATTTACTAAACGAAAAACAAAATTGGTTTTGATTTATTTGATTGCAGCAGGCTGGCTATGCAGCAAACTGCTGCAGCATGCTCTAGCCTGATGGGCAATTTGTAGGTATTGTTTTTTTTTTTTTTGATTATTATCTACTATAGTTATGATTTTTTTTGTTTCAATTTTTTTTTACACAAATCAAATTGCGCTGTAGACCAAAGCTAACGAAACAAAACGGAAGAAGAAAGAAAAAAATTGCAATTGTAATAGCATGTTTCCATTGAAAACCGAACAACGTTGTTCGCTCTCAGAATTAGGTACACGAACTAACCCGTTCATACGGCACGATTCGTAATTCATAGTAAAATAATTCATTTTTTCAAAAATTTTGTTTGTTGATTTTAATGGGAATTTATACTAAAATACATTAAATTCTCACTAATATGAGTAGAAGAAATTATTGTTTTTCTCCCAAAGATTTATTATATCATTAATTTTATAATTTTCATTCACGTTTTCAACGTTTTGTGTAAATGTTGACATTTTTAACATATTTTTGTATTTTTCTGTTTTTTAATTCTGCTGAAGAGACACTTGTCAAACATTTTTTCTGCCGATACAAACATTTTGAAAATATTGCTTCTTTTGTTTCCAGTTTTCTGTGGAAATTTCAACTCGTGGACAAAATGCGTACCTCGGATGAGAAAGAAAACAAAATTTACTTTCGTTTGAATGTACATACGCTATTCAACATTGTAGTTTTCATTCATAATTTTCAGTCTTCCCAAAAATTATCAAAATTTCATAAAATTTTTCTATTTTCAATTTTTAAATGTCATAATTTATTTTTTCGATAAATGCTCTCATTTGTTAGGGATGGGACACATTTTTTCGTTGTTCTGAGAGTGATTTGATTCGCTCAGGAAATTTTGTGTGAAGAATTAAGTAGTTTTTTCATAGTTAGGGGTCAAACAACGAATAGAGAGCGAATCAAGTGCAGTGGAAACGCCACATAATTTTTTTTTCATTACAATTTCTTTGTTGTTGTTAATTATGGCCTCAAGGTGCAATGCAATCGATTGTTGGTTGAGAAAGGGGAGGAGTGGGTAACGGGCGGAAGCAAGCAGTTGTGGATTATCGAAGGTGAAATTGCAGCAATGCCATACATGTGCAATCGCTTTCCTAATGCAACGAGGTTCGGTATGCAAGGTTAGGAAGAGTGGTTTGGACGAGGTAGGTCAAGGTTAGCTTTTAATTTCGAAACTTTGAAAATAACATTAATTAAGTGGAAATCGGCCGGAAACTGTGGCTAAGCCCTTTAAAATCTTGATGGAAAATCACACAAATTTAGTATTGTTCTTGTTGCAACCTGAAAACTCCTATAAGATCATTTTTTCTGCGATTTTGAAAAATTTACTCTCTCCCTCCGATAAAACAGATCCAGTTTTGGGAATAGTTTAATAATACAGGCCCATATTCTAAAATGCTGATGGGTCAACCTGTATTATTCAATTCTCCATTCATTGTTATTTCTCACTCTCGCATACACTTAATTTTCTCTCACAATAATATCTAAATGTCTGAGATGAACACATGACACTCACAAATCAATTAAGGCACATGGCAACACATCAAACTGAGGAAAATGCAAACGCAAATATTTTTAATTAAAATTAAAAATACTGAAAAAAATGGAACAATTGAAAAAGCTGTAAGAGTCGGAATACATAAATTGCCAAATTCGTTCCAAATGTGGAGTGTATTCAAAGATCGGACCGGTCGAACTTAAGCTGGGAATACATAAAGCGCTTATTTGGCTGGCTTGACTTCTGTCATAAGCCATTACAATATGCAAATGCGAAATTTGAAAAAAAAATCCGATGAATTATGTCGCTACAATAATCAAAATACCGAAAAAAGGGTGGTACCATTATATGGGGACTATACGAACACGTGGACCTGCACAGACAATTTTCTGTTACAGGCTATAGTATCCATTACGAACTTCAAATACACAAATTTGAAACATTTACGGTGAATAATGTCGATAAAATCATCAAAATACCGAATATAGGGAGGTACCATTATATGGGGGCTATACGAAGACGTGGACCTGCACAGACAATTTTCTGTCTTAGGCTGTAATACCCATTACGAACTTCAAATGCCAAATTTGAAACAATTCCGGTGAGTAATGTAGCTAAACTCATTAAAATACTGAATATCGGGAGGTACCGTAATATGGGGGCTATAAGAAGACGTGGAGCTGAACAGACAATTTTCTGTCATGGGCTGTAGTATCCATTACGAACTTTAAATACCAAATTTGAAACATTTCCGGTGAATAATGTCGCTTAAATCACCAAAATAACAATGGCTCGTGAGCTGAACATATCGCAATATTCCATTCGGCAAATATTGAAAAATGATCTCGGAGTAAAGCCATTGAAATTCCAAAAAGTACATGAACTTATACCGCAACAGAAAGAAAATAAACTCAAAAGAGCCATTTGAGGGCCATAATTCGTCCCAAGTTGACCAGTTCGAACAGATCTAAATTTATTCTAAAATTTGATGCTATTTCCTTTATTCAATAAAATTTAAAAAAAAAATGCAAAAGTTATGTCATTTGACTTTGTTGTTTTTGCAGTTTTTTTATCTCACCCTGTTCATATTTCAATACAAAAATATATTTTCCAGTTCATTTTCTCATTCTTTGTAAGCCTGCATAAATTAATTTCATTCTATATGTTTTTGTAATTACTTTCTATTTTAACGAACGAAAATATTTTAAATTATTTATTTTTATTTTTTTTCATTTATATTTACATATGTATTTGTAATGTATTTATTTCCCATTTATTAAGACCATACTTTATTTTGTTGTAATCATTTCCAAATGAATAGATGTAAAAGAAAATGTATATTTCGGAAAACTAGGTTTTCAGGACATGAGTATAAAAAAATCGCATCTTTGCTGAACTAGATGTGTTGCCTTTATTATGCTGACAAAATCCTTTCGACAGATTGACCTTGTCCTGAATTTATGTGCCTAATAACAGTAACAAGGTTGGTAAAATGTAGAACACAAAACTAACCTTGACCTTAAAAAGAAAACTAAAAGGCCTTGAACTAGTTCTCCATGTCAAGGAGAAAATCAATGGAAGATTTTAATAAGCAAACATACAAATCAAATGTAGATTTTTTCACTTTTTAGGTCACCTACTTTGCCAATATGGGACATTTTTTGAATTTCAATTTTTAAGGTTTTAGAATAGTTAACACTAAACAATTATTGTTTAATTCTAGTATAAACGAAATATAAGCAAAGCTAATCGTTGTTTCCTGTTGTCAGTGGAAAAACGTTGCAAGTGCCAGAAAAACAGACAAAGTTGGCATCACTCTTCTTGACACAGGTTATGAGAGCATGGGTTGTTTTCCTTTTGTTATTTTTTGCTCCCAAGAGTAGAACAGCTGATTGAGAGTGGCACAACAAAAACAAACACACAGGCAAACACAACGAATAGATTGGGGCGGTGGGGGTTGGTTGTGGTTGTAATGTTGGTGGTATTAACTGTGCGTTACGTTCGGCACTAACTGCAGGTTTTATTATTTAGAATGTAAATATTTAGGGATTTTAGAGGTATTTCATAAAATTAAATGACCCATTTTTAAATTCTAAATGGAATTTTAAGAGAAAATAAAAAATAAAAGAAAACTAGAAGAAATCAAATCAAAATAATTAAAAAGGAATTGGTCTAATTGAAATTGAATTGTTATTCATTAAAATAAAAACCTATTTTTTTTATTAAGGATATGTTTTTTATTTCTTTCAATTAATGTATTAATTTTTATTTAATTCTTATACCTATATGTTAATTGCATTCACAGTGAGAGATGAAAAAACTGCAAATCAACTTCAGACTGCTGTGATTTCTAAGTCACTCGTCCGAAAGCTGTTAGAATTATTCCAGTGACAGCTCATTATATTGTTTACAAGCGTACAACAGCATTTTGGTGAGAATTTTCCAGAAAAGAAGTTATTTGTGATGGAATTCAAGCGTGGTAGTGTGATTTCTTTATATTTGGCTGAAAAGCTACAAGTGGCTATCGTTAGAGCACTCCAGGATTTAAATATGAATATATCTTTTGTGTCTCGTACCATCGTCTGTTACCGTGATACTGGTAGCGTAGCCCGAAGTCAAGGACGTGGACGGAAGAAAATAGCAACTTCAGCAGAAATGGTTCGAAAATGGTAAAGAAGCGACTTTATTGAAACCAGCGTCGCAGTGCAGAACTTGGACATTGCCATTCGGCAAATATTAAAAAATAAGCTCGGGGTAAAGCCATTTAAATTCAAAAAAGTGCAAGAACTTTCGCCGCAAAAAAAAAGAGCTAAAGAGTTGCTTCGCTTGGCCGAAATTGGTGAACTGTCGAATTTGGTTTTCTCCGATGAGAAAACATTTGTTGTCCAGCATTTGGTAAACAAACAAAATGATAGTGTTTACTTGCCAAAGAGGTCAGCTGAAAATATGCACCTTTGATTGGCCACCAGAACTTAAGTGATGGTGTGGGCCATGGTAATGGTGTGAGCCTTCATAACAGCCGATGGCCGCTCTCCGCTCGTATTAATCGACCGTGGCATCAAAATAAATGGCGAATATTATCGCGAACATATTCTGAAGGGTGTATTAAAGCCTTGGCCACACAAACATTTTGGCCGCAGTCCTTGGAAATTCTAACAGCACTCAGCACCGTTGCACTTCTCGCACGCGCCACCCAAGAATGGTTACAAAATGAGGTTCCTTGCTTCATTTCCAGCGCACAATTGCCACCAAAATCTCCGGATACCAATCCGTTGGACTATTGTGTCTGGATTATTTTGGAAAGCAAGGTTGTCACTAGGTGTTACGGTTGGCCATTGGCCGTTTGGAAGCCATAATTCGTGCCAAAGGTGTCCAATTCGAACAAATCTAAACTTATTCTAAAATTTGATGCTATTTCCGACATTTTTTGCTTTCATTGAATAACATTTTTAGAAAAAAAAAAATGTAAAAATTATGGCGTTTGACTTTGGTGCAGTTTTTTTTTTATCTCACCCTATAGTTATTACTCAATAATAACAATAACAATAATGTGACCACTTTCATAAGCTTTCAAATGATACCATTGTCCATATCAGTTTAGTAGATCCGGGTCTTTGATCCGGACTTTCGTGTCGAACTACCAACTACATTTAGAACAAATTTAAAAAAAAAGCTGAGAGTTTTTAAAAGAGTTTGCCTAGTCAAGCCCTGACATCAATTTGGCTGACCCCTATAATGGGCCCTTTTTCGACTTTTTGGGGGTTTTATAAAAAAATCCGGGTCCAAAAAAATCAATCATTTGACTATAACTTCCGAACCGTTTACAATCGTGTCACCACTTGTTGAATAGGTATTTTCATAAGCTTTCAAAGCTAACTAGTGTAGTGGGTCTGGAACCCGGACTTTCGGGTCAAAAATCTGGGATCCCGGGTCCGTCCCCCAAGAAAAAAATTGTTTCCCGGGATCAGTGTAAAAATACCTCCCACTAAAAAATTTTTTGAAAAAAATTGAAGACTTTTTACTATACTAGAGTTAAGCCCTAGATATTTTCTGGAACCGAGCATTAATTGCTAACCACACTTTACACAATCTCTAACACTTAAACTTTTTATTTATTTATTTATAAATCATAAACATATGATCTTCGCCTTCACAAGACAAAACTCAAAAATTCAAATTTTTGTTTAATTTTCCTATTGTTAACATTAATTGATAAAAACAATCAGAAAATTTCAAACTTTTTAATTTCAAAGCCATCCCCTTTTTTTAAAAATTTTTCCCCATCATTTTCAATTACAAACTAATTTCTGATGAATTCAGGAAAAAGTAATCCACACTTCCTTATTAACAGACTTAGAGGTTTTTCTTCCATCTTTTCGTTTTTGCATTTTTCTTTTAGATTGAAGTTCTGCACACAGAAAAAAACACCATCACTTTTTGTATTATTTTCTTTTATTTTTCATTTGATTTACTTTTATTTTCTCTCTCGCGCTCGCTCGCTCTCTTCGTTGTGTGTGTATTTTTTGTTATTGTATTCATATCATTTGTTGTTTAGCATCTGGCACGAGCTTTTATGTGTTGTTGCTGTTTGTTGTTGGTGGTGGTGGTGGTATTACTGGTTAAAGTTATACAAACCAAAATAATTGTTGACTTGGGCAAAGCTGATGAGGCCCAAGGAGGAGGGTGTGGGGCGGGGAGGGGGAGTGGTGAAGAGCAAGAAGAACCTAACACACTGAACTGCCAGGCAGTCAGTCAGCCAGCCAGTTAAGCACCAAACCAACAAAACAAGCGAGCAAGCAACAACGACTACGAGACTACGACGACAACGAATGTAGAAACAGCTACAACAACAACTCTTCCTTCCAACTCAACTGCAATTTTGTTGTTGTATTTCTTTGTGTAGTTTAGCTGCTGCTATTTAATCACTACTCCAAACTTGCACACTTGTATATAAATAAAGTAAATACCTACATAGATATATATACACACAATGTATGTGCGGACGACGACAACGGCGACCGAGCGACCAACCTACCCAGAGAACCAACCAGTCTGCCAGCCAGCCAGCCAACCAGACAGACGGACGAACAAACAAAGAAATCCAACATCTAAAACTCAATATTGTCTGATTGCACATTTACTCCTTGCTTCCGTGGCCCTTCCTTGGCAAAAAAACAGTTTTTTTTTTTTTGTATTTTTATTTTATTTTTTTTTGTAGTCGTCAACACTATTCAACACACATTTGTATGTACCTACATACATATGTACATACATTCATCCATCCAACCATACGTCCGCACAATGATAAACAACATACTTTGCAATATCAAAAATAAAATTTTTATGCTTTTGCTTTATTTTCACTTCCTTCACAAAAAGTCCTTTGCCCCGACACGCACACACACGCACACGACAAACAAGACTTTCTTCCTTTTATTTATTTGTTGTTAAACCGTTTTGATATTGTTCTCAGATTTCCCGTTTCGAAAGAAAGGTCTTCTTTTCTTTTGCTTGGGTAGATATTTGTTTAATTATAGCTAGGTATATTTTCTTTTTTTTTTTGTAATTCTCTTTTATTCTTTGCCTTGGCTGTGTTTATTTTTATATATTTTTTGTTTGATTTCTTTTTTTGGGGAACTTTTTTCCACTTGGCTTTTTCTACTTTCAAATTGAGACGAGATGTTAACACTCACGTTGTTCGCAAACGACTGACAGTGTCGAAAAATTACACTCAACACAAAAACCAGAGCCAATCCAACTGCGCAGTCAACGAATAATAACACGAAGCCAGCACAACGGAGATAAAAGCAGCAGCAGAGCGAAACAGCGAGCAAGCGACCATCGACGACAACGTCATCAACCAATTGCTTGAAACACACAAACAAAAAGCAGAGAGTTGACTGCAGTCAACAAGACCCGTTGTGCATAGCCATAACAGAAAATAACCAAACAAAAAAACCAAAACACTCTAAAGAAAACATAAAAGGAGACACAACGGCACAGAGAGATACCGTGTATCAAATGATCAGTGTTGGTAACTATTCAAGGGGGAAAATCGCGCAATTGGGTAAATTATTAAAAACTCTAAAAAAAACAGAAATAAATGAAAACGGGGTACAACGAAATCAAGGTAGGGCACATTGTTTCTAATTTATTTATTTTCTGGGCTTAAAACAAAAGCAGACACAACGGCACAGATAGATACCGTGTATCAGATGTTCAGTGTTGGCAACTTTTCAAGGGGAGAAATCGCGCAATTGGAAAAACTATTAAAAATAATCAGAAATAAATAAAAACGGAGTAAGCATGGTACAATGAAGAGAAGGTAGGTCAACTTTGAAAAAATTGAAAGTATAGAGGTCTACCTGTTTGGCTTGTAATGTCAGAATTAGTATCAAAACAATAAAAAATCAAACACATCAAACCGCGATAACTGAATGAAAGGTCAACACTTCTTTTCAAAATCATGTACTATATATCTCTAAGGGATTATTTCGCCACAAAAACTCTAGATTTTGTTGATGCATACGTTGAAAAAAACATTTTGAAAACAACCGAATTTGAAGTTTTCTGAACAATTTTTTGTTATTGAAAAGAAAACACATACATAAACAAATAAAGATGACATATTAAGCCAAGAAAATAAAAAAAAATAAAATCATATGGTATCATAGCCCTACCTTGATATCATTGTACCATGGGAGTAAGCACATTTGCCGCCGTGAATGTTATATATTTTATTATCATGCCGATACACAATAATTTGAGTTCTAGAACATTAAATATTTAGAAACAAGTTTTATTCATATGCGGTCTGTTCCAGAATCTGCAAGAATATATTAGTTTTGCCTTTTTTTGATGTCATGAAGGGAAAATCGGTTATCGCAGTAAACAGTTTTACATTCTTGCTGTCCTGGAACAGAACAAAAATTTTTTAGATATAAAAATAATGGCCAACTCATTTATTCATTACTTTCATAACATGACACAACCAAAATGGTTGCGTAACTTTGAATGCAATGAGAAAAATGCAACTCTGTATAGCATATAACAATTGTCTTTTTTGTACCCTCCACCATTATATGGAGGGTATACTAAGTTTATCATTCCATTTGTAACTCATCGAAAAAAAGTTCATATCCCACCAAGTATCTATATTCTTAATCAGCATAAAATTCTGTGTTGATATAGCGATATCCGTTCGTTCGTATACCTGTCTGTCCGTTTGGGGAAGTCACTATAGCAGTTTCATAAAGTTTTACTCATATGTATTTTATGACTTTTGGTATTGAAAATTGTTAGGTCCACGTTTTAATTTAGCTCCCATATAAGTGTCCCGCCAGATTTAAGTTTTTTCTTGTTTTAGTCACAAATTTAACCCGGGTTTGCTGTAACATGCCAGTTTGTATTCCCATTATGTACGACACATGCTTTCATAGAAAAGGCTATATAGGTCCAAATTTTTGTATAGTTCCCATATAACTGTACATCCAAATATTCGGTATTCTGATTTTTTTAGCCTCAATTTCTAGCGGAATATGATAAAATCAGTATTTGAAGCTTGTAACGCTTGTAACCTACTGTAGTAGAACATTGTGTAATTATTTCTTCCGATATTTGGTATTTTAAGGATTTTAGCGATTTTTTTTTATCTGAAACCTGGGATTTGGAGTTCGTAATAGGCGCCGCCTTCTTTGGCAGATTATTGACTACAGAGGTCCAATTTTCGTATGTGCCCAGTATAGCTGTACCTCCAAAATATTCATAAAATTGTTTGAATAATTTTACTTGGAGTTCGAATGGCAGAAAATTGTTCTTATAGGTCCACATCTTTCGTGTAAACCTAACGAAACCTCCCAATATTCGGTATTTTGATGATTTTAGCTACATTTTTTATCAGAATTATCATTAATTTGGTTTATAGAGTTCGTAATAGACACCACTCTCAGAATCTCGGAATCTTCCGAATGTCCTTATTCATGAGGGTTGATAATTGAGAAGTACCGCTATACGAAATTTGAATGAAATTTTGAAGGTATTTATCCTTTGAGAAATTCAAATCCAATTTACAGACAATTTGATCGAAAAATGTACCAGAGACCTTGAAAAATACAAGGAGATATTTCCACTTAATCAGAACCAGAAACGTAAAATGACAGCCCATAAATAATAGAGAAATATCGGGCATCTTAAAACCATGGTACAATAAGTGAGCCCGACTTCTGCCAATTTTGTGCATATATTTATTATGAAAAATAAAAGCAAAATATTTTCAAAATCAATGATTGGAAGAAACTTAAATTGGGGCCGCGCATTAATGATATTAACCATATTTGCCACGGAATTGAAAGAACCCTTAGGATCATATTATTGAGAGAACATCCAGGCATTTCATTCATCTTTCGCGCTATTTGTCTCATTAATAATAAGGAACAAAAATATGAAATAAGTGAAAACAACCTGTTGGATATAAATTTGAAAAATTCTGACAAAAAGCGGGCATAACCTCATGGCTGTATTTCCGTAGTTTTACGAAGCTGTTATAACTCCTTATTGTACCATGCTTAAAGCTAATAAGAAAAAATATGGAAAACTAGCCATATTTGAAAGTTCTATTAAAAATTTATACTTTATCTGGACGGATTGCGATTGTAGCAAATATTTTGGGGCTTACGTTTTCTACAAAGCGAACATAATTAAATACGACATCAAAACTACATCTTAACATAGATTCATTCATGGTACAATAAGGAGGTAGAACAGGGGCTGGATTCTTGTTCTATGAGAATATGAAATGAAAAATATTTCCTTTATAACATTTTTCATTTGACATTTCTTTCCTTTATAAAAATTTTCATTTCACATTTTCATAAAACAAGAATTGAGGCCCAGCTTCGTAAAACTACAGAAATACAACCCTGAGGCTATGCCCGCTTTCTGTCATACTCATTCAAAATTTTATATTTTCATTTTTTCATACTTTCCCTCATATTTTAATGAGTCAAATAGCGCTAACAATGAATGAAATGCCCAGATTTTCTCTCAAAACTATGATCCAAACTGTTCAATATTTCAATTTCATGGTTAAACTGGTTAATAACTTTAATACGCGAGCCGCAATGTATATGTCTTCCAATCATTGGTTTTGAAAATATTTTTTTTCATTTTCAAAACAATAAATATATACACAAAATTGGCAGAAGTCGGGCACACTTAGAAAAGAATTGTAAACAGCTGATAGCTTTACCTTACCTTTTTATTGTACCATGGATTCATTATTAGTGTCCGGCTCGTTTTACAATTCTCGTGTATAATTGTAAAATTAATAATAAATAAAAAAATAATAGTGTTGATATTCATAATAAAATTTATAATATAGACTATAAAAAACTATAAATTTATCTTATAAATTTAAAACTTTCCTCGACATTTAAAAATGATCACAATCCCCATAAAAAACGCAAAGTGTGCATCATTGCTCACACTGCTCAAATCAGCCAAGTGAATACACTACAATTAATGCTGTCGTCGTCGCTGCCTTAACGAAAAATAACGTTGGCGACTTCGTAGTCGTCGTCGTCGCCGTTGATATGGTCGTACACTTTGATTGTGTGCTACTACCACGACTTTCTAAACAGCTGAGCGAATGTATACTAAACTGACAACTTAAAATTGTACAACACCAACAACGAAATGAAAGAAAAAAAAAAACGAAAACATACACGAACACAGACACACACCCATGCACAATACATGGCAACAAAAATCATAATAATAACAACAGCAGCAGCAGCAGTAAGTAGTAGAAGAAGCAAAAAATAAACGACTACGTCAACATTAAATGATAACTACATCACACATAGCGTACATAGAGTATATATATATATATATGATATACATAAATACATAAAAGTGTATGTATTTATGTGCTTTTCTTATTTAGCTATAAGAAAATAATAATATCTAATAAAAGTAAACGAAAACTGTTGTTAATAGCAAGTGTTTCTGTACTACGACGTTTCAAAATAATAAAAAAAATCTCAAGAAATAAGTACTAATTTACAACAACAATATAATCCCAATATGTAATCATATTAATGGGCATACCACAAAGCAGCAGCAGCAACAACAACAACATCAACTACAACTACGTATTTTTTATCAACAATAGACACCCTTCCCTTCCTCTATTTACGACGTAGTTAGTGATTATTTTCTTTGTTTTGTTACATGCCTGCTCCCCCAACCAGCCATACACCACCCTTTCCCTTTGATAATGCTTTGTTCTTGTCAGTCTCTCTCTCTATCTCTTGTCCTCTCTGAACGGAGAGAATTCATTTGCATCATCAACATAACATCACACAGTCGCCAATTTCAATGGGAAATCCATTGATTTTGTGTTGCCCTTGCCTAGCAACATCCCAATTGAGTTGAGAAACATTTTTTGAGCTATCTAATTGGAGTGCAGTGTGATATTTGTAGACTAGGGCGGACCGTAACATGGTGAGTTATTAATATAGACAAAGAGATGTTGTGAAAGGTGTCATTTTTTCTAAAATGTAATACCATGTTCATACTGGCATTTCAACTACATTATTCGCTTTTATAATTACGTACAAAAATTAACGCGTTCAGACTACACGAACGGTAATACAAAATTACAGAATTCCTATGTATAATAAAATATTGCAGCGGAACTTAATCCCAGTTTTCGGGTTTTGATTATAATCTTCCTTGATAGAGGTTATATAGGGTGTGAAAATGACAAAATATTTAATCGGAAATAAATTTATTCTTTTTTTGCCAGCTTTACGTCTATATCTAAGGAAAAACTATAAAATATAAATTTGACAATGAAGGGACACCAAAAAA